CTTAGATCCGGGGTCCGGGAAATGGACTGCATCGTAGATCCACTTAGGTCCACGGCGTCGTCAGTTGGGTATGTTTCGTGTGGAATGAACTCTTGCGGGAGTTACTTACGAACCACCTCAAGCGGCAGACTTTTCACCCTACCCACCACAAATCTGTACTTATTTACACTTATTTTTGTTGCAGCTGTTTCCCTCGAATCCCTTAAATGTCCTTAAATGTAAATGCTGCTACTTGTTCTTTGTTTTCTCGTTACGAGAGCGCTTGTTTGTCGGCAGCATGCAGGCTTGGAGGTTCGTGGGGGTGGGGGAGATTTAGTACTTAACGGTCCATGGGACTTAGTAGCTAGGGTCATAAGTAAGGTAAGTATACTTGATTTCGAATAACCCCAACTAAGGACTTACAACAGTACTTGCTAAGTCCCATGAACCTCCAAGTAGAGGCAATCGTTGACGTGGGCACCGTAAGTTGGGGAGGCACAGGGCAATGGAGAGACATGGCGGCCAGCATGGGGCAAACAAGGCAAAACAAAGCGCCGAATATGTGAAATGAGGCTCAAATAAGGGAACATATGGTGCAAATAAAGGAAAACCAGGAGCAATAAGGTAAAATAAGGGACACATCAGGAAGAGAAAACAAGGGGCAAATTGAGGAACACAACAACCGAATAAGACAAAATCAGGAGCAAACAAGGGGCAAATAAATGGGAAATAATGGGCGAGCACATGAAACATAAGGTGCACATAAGGGAAAACAAGTGGCAAATCAAGGAACATAAGTAGCAAGTCAGATAAAATAAGTGGCACATAAGGGAAGATGACGGGCTAAGAAGGGGAAATAAGGTGTAAATAGGGAAAGACAAGGTGCAAATAAGGGAAAATTAGAGCAAATATTGGAATTGCTTGATTGAATTCTTCGCCGATTTGCATGTGGATTCTTGCAAGCGGTTTATGATACAGTGAACAAAAATTGTGAGTTGAGGACTCTCGTGTTGCTCGGTAGCTGATTCGAAGGCAATCCTCTGTTCCATGGGGTGATGCTTACTGATGCTATTTGCCACTAAATGTCCCAAAATGTCTGCTACGTGCTGCTAGAGGCTTCCAAACGCCCCTTAATTGTCGCAATTCGCCCGGGCCCAGCAAACGACAAGTAGAGGCAAATAGTTGCCTGTGCTCGTTTTGCCTGGGCTCTTAAGCCACCCGTCGTCAACATTCGGACGGAGCAAGATGCCCATTCTTACTGGTAGTCGCTGGGCTTGGGCAAGGCCGTAATCCTGATTGGTTCACCCGGATTTGCTGAGGGTTTCAAGGTCTCTTCTAGGGTTGTAGGGGGCAAATTTTGGGGTCTGAGGAAGTAGTTTTAGTACCGGCATCGGCTCCCTCTGTCCTCTGTGTTATACTAGATTCGACGTAGACCATAGACTTACCTAAACCCTAAACCCTACAGACGAGGACATGAACTTCGACTTAGAGTTGGGAGATCTAGTGCAAATTCCACTCCAAACTTCGATGCCAATCCACGTTACACCAAACTTTGACCTGAAATTTGGTACCCGGGTCTGAAGTACCACATGTAGCTTCTGCCCAAGACACCCGGCTTTGTATCTCGGAAGTCGATTTATTGCAGCCCTTCAACACTTCAGATACTTTGGCCTTAAAGGAGTCGCTATATCGGTGCTGTGGGGCCAATGCATATACCATTCAAGAACTGGGGCCCTTAGGGGTATGACGGCGCAGACCAAACATAGAAAGTTCTTGGAACTCTAGGGCCCGCAAGCAGGCGATGGGAATCCGGAGGAGTTTGCCATGCACGACTGCCCCTTCGTGGAAGATCTGAGACGCTTTTACAGTAGGGGTCGGAATAGTTGCTAGGAGTAGTAATGTTCCCTTGTGGTCCCGAAAGTATACACCGAAACCAAATTCCGACCATTACTGCTAGCATGGTTGTTTTGCATTTGTATGTTCATAGTTTTGGGATGTGCAGCCTTGTTTTTTGCATTTGCGCTTGTATTGTGCCTTTGTTGCTCGTCTTACTTGCATTTGGGGCTCCTGGTGCAGCTTCCGACGACCACTGGATGTTGATAATTGCTCAGGCTTCTCTACTACGGCCGATCCTGCATTACCCACAATAAGGAATACACCACAATTCCCATAGTTTAGGGTCCTTAAGGTAATGCAGGATTTTTAGCAGCAACAGTATGTCGGCCAAGGCCTCGGGTTTGGCAGTCTTGTCCTTTCGTAGACTTCCGCCGAGAGCTAGATGGGAGTTTCCGAAATTAAGGGGTACCTTATTTTGGGGGGGTCCTTATAATAAGAATCCTACTATTTAGGGTACTATGTTAGGGTCCCCTCTTTTCGGAAACCCCCAGATGCACATATTCAGACAACGGAGGGTGCCTTACAGTCTTTCAATTCCCGAAACATTGTCCGAGGGCAGGACGCCCCGGCAAAGAGAAAGCAAAAGGAATGTAACGAACGTTAACAGTCATAATTGCAAAGCAAATCATTAACTGAGGTTTCTGCCTGTGTTTCCTTCCGAAGCTTCCTTTGGACGGCCGGATGCCCCGTAGGTGCAAAGAGAACTCGAAGACCTGCTACCAACATCTGCCAAGCAGGTCAAGCAGACTAAAGCGACACGAGTCAACACTGCACATATAGGAAAATATTTTTACTGCGGTCCTAGAACACGAAGAGCTAGCAGTTGTTTTTTTCACCTCCATTTCCAGGACATCCCTTCGAGATTCCAGAGTTGTAAGCTCAGTCAACCCTCAGCCTAAGCCTTTACCTAAAGGCCCCCATGCAAGAACTTAGGTTACGACCCCTGCGCACCCTTAGGTTGAGGTCATCGACTCTAGCTTTTTAATGAAAAGCAGGTTGGTAAAGCAGAAGTAGAACCTGAAGCCAAAGCCAAACCACAGGTAGTCCTGCATCCAAGGCCCGATGGTCAAGGAAAATAAAGCGAAGAAGGGCGACGATCGAAAAGGCCACACTCTATCCTGGGATCCCACGATGCAGGACCATTATGGTTCTCTGTCTAGGGTTTAGGGCATAGGGTATATAGGGTGCCTTCGGGGTTTAAGATTTGGGGTCTTGTTTCGAGGCTCAGAATAGGTCTTAGGGCGAGGGGTTCAGATCCGGCAGGTGCACACGGCCGCACGTTTGCCGAGGGCTCCACGCGGTCACATTATCATCTGCACGTTAGTAACTAAAAACAAAAAACAGATCACATGCATTGATCCTAAAGTAGGTGCAGCTAGAAAGGAACCTCATCTGAAGGCCAAAGCACGCACTGTACTACTCGTATGCTATGCAACGGCAACATTGGCCCTTAGGCTATTCGAACAGCATTGCAAGCTTTTGGGCCTGAAACCCTAAACTCTGAACCCTAAACCCTCTGAACCCCCAGGAGAAGGAGCTGTGACGACGTGGCGAAGTGACGGGAAGCCGTCTCGGGGTCTACACGGACCCTAAAGAACCCACCTTTTTAGGGCTCCTTATTATGATTTCTCTATATAAGTCCTAAAACGGTAGGTTATTTGGGGTTAAGGTAGGGTGTAGCGCTGAAGGGTTTTGGGGTTTACTGGTCATGCCTTCGGAACCTTGCCTCGAGCCTTGCGATGTTTGCGCCGTGCTAGTTGTATGCACTATCGAGGCCGGCAAGATCCAAAATTCGAAACCCAAAACCCTGAATCCAAAAATAGAAATCAAGGGAAACAAACCCTCACGATGTGACAGATCTGGATTTCACAAGATGCCACACTTTGCATCTTTGCACAGAACTGGCGAAGACCTCATTGAGCAGTGCGGCATGACAAGACGCAACCCCTCCATCGTCAGTCCAGGGGGCGATTTAGAGCTTTGGGTTTGAGGCTAGGGTTTAGGGTGGCTAGGGAGGTTAGAGTATCCGCGACAGTAGAGGTGTTTGATGTGTTGGGCTTCCTGCGGTCGATGGACAAAATCCTGCATAACTTTATATACCTAAACTCTGGGATTTATGGTACTATACTATATTTGGGTCATGCAGAATTTTGTCCATCAACAGTGGGTTCTGGCATGCTCTTCTTTTTCCTTCTGGCACTGCTGCTCCAGGCCCCCAGAACCTGAACGGCCAACGCGCAAAATCTTAGACTCGAAATCCTAAACCCTTAACCGCTAAACCCTCAACCCAAACTCCTAAACCCTTAACCCTAAACCCAAAATCCTAAACCCTTAACCCCTAAACCCTAAACCCAATATCCTAAACCCTTAACCCCTAAACCCTAAACCCAATATCCTAAACCCTTAACCCCTAAACCCAAAATCCTAAAGCCCCAAAAGCTTTGCAGGGGGAATAAGGTTAGAGCTGACCCTACTATACGGGCCTTGGTAGTTAGAATAGGGTTTCATAGGGGCTCCATTAAAGGGTTCCTCAAAGGGTTCTATAAGGCTACTATAAGGGTTAAGGGTTCAGGTGCCTTAGTAACTAGACCGGGGTTTTGGGGCCCAGTATATTTTATATCCATAACAAAGAACCCCCCAAAATAGTATAGGTCATTAAGTAGGCGCCAATATTGCCTGGATGCCCCAACTCCCTAAGGGTTGCAGAGTGTTTTTCGGGCACATTTCTGTGCACAAATATGTCAGCAGCCAGAATGGATCATGAGCCGAAAGTCCAAGTACCCGAACCCTAAACCCTGAACCCAAGTAGCGCAGATCTTCCAAAACCCCCTAGTTAAAGACTATACTGACTATACTTCAAGTCATAGTAGAGATCCTACTATCATCTGAGGTGGACTCCTTAATTCAGGGCTTTGGGAAGACCTGAGGACCTAACCCCCATGCCCTAAACGCATAGCCTCCCTAAGCCCCAAGAACCCTAAACCCTAAACCAAAAAAAGGTAACCCCCCTAAACCCCTAAACCCTTAAACACCTGAGCCCCAAACCCCAAACCCCAAGAACCCTAAACCCCTAAACCCGAAACCCTACTACACCCTAACCGCCTAAACCTGCCGTCTGCTCCGAGGCTGTCAAGCCAAGCCGGGATCCCAGCAATACCTATCGTCTCCATTGCAGTTTAGGGTTTAGGGTTTAGGGCCCTATCGGTAACTGAAAAAAAGAACCACAATGGAGACTGTAGGTAGTTCGTAGATCTGCACTTGGCGGGGCTTATAGGGTTTAATAGGGCTTGGGTTTAGGATCCAGGTTCAGGGTTTAGGGGAATCAGTGACTTCGTAAGTCGGTTGCAAAACGAGCTAGAAGCATGATCCCTTACCTACCTGAACTTACCAGAACCGGCTTTTTTGGTCCCCTAGAAGGTTTCATATTAGGACTTGTGTTATTAAGAACCTACAGAAATGTTAAAGTAGGTTTTGGTAGGTTAAGGTACTCATTTTTGTTCGACTTGGTAATTTCCCGAGTCTTCCGAGAAGGCGGAATGCCGACATGGAAGGCTCCAAAGTTGCGAAAGAAGCAGTAATCCCCTTATTTTGAATTTCAACTCACTGAGTTCTAAAGCCCGATACCCAAGATTTAAGACTTCACAACTCGAGGCGAACTATAACCCCAAGCCCTAACTTCCTTTCGCCCTACAACCCGTCACTCTTCGAGTCTAGGAGGCTTAGTCCAGAGATCCATGCTGAGCGGGCTGTGCGCTCTCACTTGGGAGTTTCAGGCAGCCGGACTTCGCGGCCTGAAATCTTGTGGTGGTACGGTTGATGGACAAAATCTTGCATGACCCCACATACCTAAACTATGGGATTTATGGTACTATACTATATTTCGGTCATGCAGAATTTTGTCCATCAACAGTAGTTATGGGGGTCGGAAGAGAGCGTGTGTTCTGGATGGGTTAGACAGACGACTGGATGCAACGGGGTTGTAGGGTCGTCATGTAGAGTGGAGGGGGGAGTGTCGAAGATGGGGTTTGGTTTGCTCAAAGCTAGTCTGGCTTTGAACGCAGAGTGAGGGTCTAGTCTTTGCTTAGATCTCACGGGATGCAAACAACTGTCAGCATCATGAATCATGTGCAGACAGCTCTTTCGGATCTACAGTGAATGTGTTCGAATCATCCAGGTCGGGATAAAGCCGCATGAGAAGTCTTGATCGGAAGACAAGATGTACCAAAGCGATTGGCCAAGGCTTGCAGCAGAAACGCCCCAACCCTAATCCCTACTTTGGGGGCATTTGACGTTCTGTGTTCCGAAATGCCGCCTAGGAGACCCGTCAGCGATTGCTGCATGCCGTGGGCAGCAGGGCACGGATGGAGATACCGATGCCACATGAGAACCGAGGCAGATGGGATCCTAACATAGGTCCTTCTCATATTATGGACCCCAAGTCATTCGACTCCCGATGTTTAGCAACATCGATTACTGCAGGAGGCTCTTACTTCTACCGTTACTGTCGACGTAAGGTTTCAGGATCTAGACTTGCAAACACACGACTCTAGTCGAGCAAACGGTTCCCAAGTGTCTCACTCTAGAAACCCGCAATCACATCAAAGTCCAGTTTGGCAAGCCTGACAGGATGTGCAGACCTCATTGTTCGGCTTGATTTCTTCGTTGGTTCAGGAATGAAACAAGAGTTGAGAATCAAGCAGAACCGTTTTGCAGTTCTTAGAAAACGTTTATCCTTGGGCTGACTTAGTTTTTCTGCCGTTTAGACTCGAACAATAGGTGCTGTGCTGACCCCAACTGCCCCCCAAAAACGGTCTTTCATGTGCTCCTAGTTTCAAGGATCCAGTCACAGCTCTACAGCTGGATCTCAACCCGTGGCTCCCAGGCTGGCTAGTGTACCAGGACCCTCGAGCCTCAAGGCCTGTGCCTAAACCCGAAACCTTAAACCCTAAACCCTAAACCCTAAACCCAAAACCCAAAACCCAAAACACCCCAAACACCCTAAACACCCTAAGCCCTAAGCAAACTGAAGCCCGACAGTCTGAAAGCCGCAATCTTATTTCTGGAGGCTTCCGGGCCCATAGAGCCTAAGTGCTAAGCCGTCATCGTTCATGTGGGCGCTGGCGGTGGGCCATGGTGGGCGAAGTCATGATGGGGCGGATGTCGCATGATGATGTGGCCAGGAGGTCGAATCAAGGCATGCCCTGATTCCCAAGGCCTGTATCCAAACCCAGAGCCACCAACCTTCCCTACCTGAACCCTAGCCCCAAACTCGTGAACCCTTACCCCAAACCCCGATCCTTAAACCCTTGCCTGCAGAGACCTCGTCTGGCGGAGTCCGAGTTGCGAGAGCGTAAACCCTTGCCTGCCTTGTGCTTTGGAGTCAGAAAACCCTGAACCCTAACCTCGCCCCTTCCCCCCCTCACCACAGAAAGGTCCGACTGCTCGCCGGGTAGATCCCTGCAACCTGCGGCCCGAGGACGCCCTGGGAAGAGATGGGTTTCTAGGACAATTAGGGGTTTAACTTGGGGAAGTGAATAAAAATAATAAGACGATAAGAAGATCCGGTATGTATCCCTCCATTCAAAACAAACACCACATTGAAACGACATCAACCCCCTAGCGCCACATTCCAGCCGCTAGTAAGGCCCGTCTTTTTGCAGTTTCAGGTGGAGGAGTCGCTGACTTGGCGGTGAGTCTGTTGTGTGTGTTTCGGGGTTGTTGTTTTTCGTTGTTTCGATGGTGTCAGAACAGATGGCCATGGCTTTCTAAGAGCTTTGAGCTCGATAATCTGAGGGCCACCGGATCTGTGAGGTAACTCGCGCGCGAGGGGCAGGCTTTTGCATCAAACCTTTCAGACCTGCACAGAGGAGCTCGAGGCACTGGACGTTCTCGAGGCCTCATACGCACAGGACCCCGTGGGAGGGAGAGGTGTGAAAGGATCCGGTACGTTCTCTTTGTTTTCTTTGCTGGGGTCAGAAAAGGGGCCTTAATAATTACCAATGCTATTTTTAGGGGGTTCCTTATTGTAATTAATTAATTGGGCCCCAAAACCCTATTCTAATTATTAAGGCTCCTGCATTACTTCCTGTCCCTCCCAGTAGATGTATATTTCCCTTACAAGAAGCTTGAGAGGAAGATGGGTTTCAGGCTGCTTTCGGCCAGGACTATGGACGTGCCCGATGTTCAGCCACTTCTTCTTCTTCTTCTTTACCGATCCGGGCCATCCATGCCCAGACCTTTGGAAGGATCTAGAAAGTAGATCCCGAAATTTGGGACCCTATACTGCTAAGGGGCACTTTATAGGAACCTCCTTAAGGGATCTACCCTTCTAGATCCTCCTCGGGCTCTGGGTGCATGATGCTCATTGATTGTTGCTTGCGTCATTGGTCATGCACGAGCAACATATGAGTGAATATGCTCCCTGAGCCCATCTCGGTGGAGGGCAGGGTGAAAGGATCGCTTCGCGACGTTTAGGGCTGTCTGGTGGCAAACCGAAGAGCCCCGGCGCCCCAGCCTTTGCAAGCTCTTATCGGATTTGACACCTGCCTCACCCTACCTGCAGACTAGGAAGCGAGTCCAAGGTCGTAAACACTGGGTCCCTGAACACGGAATGAGCCCAGAGATTTCTTCGAGCTTTCCCGTCGTACCCCAAGTACATGTAACAAGGCGGAAGCGACCCTAATCCTTCAGCCCAACATCAACCTAGCCCTAATACCTTGGAACTAAAAGCCTAAACCGGCACCTTGGCCGCTATAGGCTATAGGCAATCTCCATGTCCCCCTAACCCTCGATGAACTCGACGTCAGGAGTTCGTCCGATTGCGTCGTTTGCTCCGATCTTTGGGCCAGGACCCTTCCGAAGCAGGCATCCAAATCGAATACCAAAAGGGTTGGTGTAGGATTTAGATTAGGGGTCCATTTTATCTCAGTATGTCGCTCGAAAATTGCTCGTGTTCAGGCTCAGGTGCTGTGTACGTAGGGTTTGGCGAGAACGAAATATTAGGGAGGCTTGGCTCTGCAACGATCATTGGGGCTGCAGTCTGCAGGGTGCAGAGTTGGGTTCCCTGTGTCTGCCGGGCACTGCAAAGCAGGAGATACCCAGAGCCATCGCCGCGGACCGTTCGCCATCCTACTGCAGCCCGTTTGAACGGCGAGACGCCATGAGACATTGCCCACTGTTGTGTGTGGGTGTTTCTCTTTCATGCCTCTTAAACCGCAGAGTAGACCCATAGACCGCAAGACTGAAGGGTTGGGCGCGCGCGCACACACATCACCCCTGCATGCATACATACCTACAGATAAAGATAAAAAATATACAGAGACAGCCAGAGATAGAGACCGACAGAATGACAGAGTGAGTCAGTGACTGACTGACTCACTCACACAGGCATAAGCCACACATGTAATGACATACATGGATCCACGTACGGGTCCAGGGTCACGCAGCATGCTTGTACGAACCAGAATAGCCAGCCCTCATACAGAACCCCCCCCCCCNNCCCCCCCCCCCCCCCCCCACCCAATTTCCATTGTAGTATTGCAGGCACGTAGGACTCTGTGGGAGTAGGGTCAAGCTTCGAGGTGAGGTCGTGATTTGTTGTACGGTACAGGGGGGTCAATGTTCTGAGTGAGTGCGTGGATGGCCTGGGGTGCACTCCGGC